AGCTGCAGCAGCCGGAGCAGCAGTCGCAGCAGCAGCAGCTGCTGCAGCTGGTGCACCTGAGGCACTCGCCGCTCTGCTGGATCTAGGGTTTAGGGTTTAGGGTTTGGGGTTTAGGGTTTGAGGGACACGAAAGAGACACCTGCTGACGAAATTTGATACCGAATGGCGCAAATGAAAGCCGCAAAAGTCCTCGAGGGTTTAGAGCATTTAGAGCTAGGGTTTGGAGCTAGGGTTTGGAGCTAGGGTTTCGAGCTAGAGTCCAAACCCTAGTTCCAAACCCTAGCTCCAAACCCTAGGGTTTAGAGCTAGGGTTTGGAGCTAGGGTTTCGAGCCAGGGTGTGAAGGCACGGCCACCCATAAGGCTCGGTAGGGGAATTTTAGGGTTTAGGGTTTAGGGTTTAGGGTTTAGCTATTTGAGAAGAGTAACAAACACTGGCACCAGCACAATGGCGGCGATGATGATCAGAATGACGGTGATCCAAAACATCCGCTGCGCGCAAACCCTAAACCCTAAACCCTAAACCCTAGTTTCCTCGGAACAACTGTGCGCTTTCTCGCAGTGACAAACAGCAAGGGTTAGGGTTTAGGGTTTAGGGTTTAGGGTTTAGTGAGGCCCACCGCTTTCGCTGACTTCTGGTTCCGCCTCGCCTGCAGCAGTTCCTTCTCCGCCTTGGCTGCGAGTGGCACAAACCCTAAACCCTAAACCCTAAACCCTAAACCCTAGAATCTGGCTTCTTCTGAAACTCACAAGCCGCGCCCGCAGGACGTACCTTCGAGCCCCACGCCCGCCCCCACGACCCCAAACCCCAAACCCTAAACCCCAAACCCTAAACCCGAAACCGCAAACCCTAAACCCTAAACCCTACCTGTGTACTCCTTGGCCTGCTGCACTGAGTACTGAATTTGTTCCACCATTTCTCCTTGAGCTTCCACTAGAAAAGAAAGCTCGACAAACATTTGGTGGAGCTCCGCCACGCCTGCGCGTAAACCCTAAACCCTAAACCCTAAACCCTAAGCCCTAAACCCTAAGTTCTCAAAGCAAGCCCTGGGCCCTTAAGAGCAGGCCATCAACCCTCTTGAGTAAAGCCTAGGCTCTCAAGGTAAACCCTAAACCCTAAAAAGTGGTTTCCAAACCCTCAAATGGAGCCATAAACCCTTAGTCCTGACAAGTCAGGCCCTAGTAAACTAGTGCGGCCAAAAGCTAGGGTTTAGGTTTAGGGTTTAGGGTTTTAGGGTTTAGGGTTTAGGGTTTTGCGGACTTTGTTCAAGACGGCGAATGTCCCGGTACTTGTCTTGAATGCCGGCGGTTGCATTTCGTAGGGCCTGGTGCGTCTGCAGCACAAACCCTAAACCCTAAACCCTAAACCCTAGGCCCCAAACCCCAAGCCTTAAACCCTCGGAACTCCTGGAACTGCAAATGCCTTCAATGGGGGCAAATGGGCTGCGCCGCGAGCCGGGAGCCCAACGCAGGGTTTAGGGTTTAGGGTTTAGGGTTTGGCGTTTAGGGTTTAGGGTTTAGGGTTTACGCACGCCGGAAACCCTCATTTTGATGGCCGTCATCGCCGTGAGCTCTCCAGAGTCCACGAGGGTTTCAACTTCTTCTTCAGGCACTTCCGGATAGACTGCAGCCCAAACCCTAAACCCTAAACCCTAAACCCTAAACCCCAAACCCTCGTTTTCTGCAGCCCCCGTGCGCTCCCCTCTAGGGTTTAGGGTTTGGCGCGGGCTGCTTGCTGCTGCCGAATATCTTCGAGCTCCTGCGTGCCCGCCTGCTTCTGCAACCTAAGGTTTAGGGTTTAGGGTTTAGGGTTTAGGGTTTGGGACCTAGTTTGACTTGTCGAACGGCCTTCTTGCGAACCTGCAGCCTGT